GACGGAGCCGCTGGGCCGCGACCCCCCCGCCGGCGTGCCCTTGCTGCCCCTCAAAATGCAGGCCCTGCTGGAGCCCTCGGTGAAGATCGACACCAAAGACGTGCCTCTCACGGTGCTGCCGGCCGACGCAGGTGGGCCCCGGGCCCGTGCCCGAGTCGGCGTCGGTCAGTCGGTCGGTCGGTCGGTCGGCGCTCCCGAGGCACCGAAATCCTGCAAAGCGTGGTCGCGTGAGGTGATAGGATGGCCGGCTTCAACGACGGGCCGAAAAACGGAGAAAAAGGAGAAGCACGTGGCTTTCCCGGGCCGCCCGGCGCCCGATTCGGCCCCTCGCTCCGTCCAGTTTAAGATAAAATAATCCACGAAAAGGGGGTCCTGTGAAATTTTAAGACGAGCGATGGTCGTTTCTGCCGTCGGGACTCGTAGTAGACAGGATGTCTGTTCTCGGACCGACACGATTTTTGCCCCCCCCTCCCAAATTCTTTGATTGCAAGCGTTGGGGCACAAGCGCCCGTCATCAGGCATTGCAGAAAAGATTGTAAAAGGTCCCCCGGGTAGAAATGAGAGTTCGTATTCGGTGGGATTTCGCGGAGGAGTCAATACGTGGGAAACTCCCCCGGGCAGGCCACTCGTTCTGTGCAAATTTACGAGCTCAAGACTGTGGAGCCGTAGCTATGTGTGTTTTTCACAGATTTCATAGACGTTAGGGCCGGAAGGGACCTCATAAGATCACTGTTGTCATATTAGAACAAAAATGTCCAATTCGTTTCGCTTATTTAGAGGCCCCCTCATGTTGCGAGGCCCTAAACCGTGAGTAGCTGAAGGCTAAATCCGGCACTGCCTTTCACGACTTCCGGGGGGGCCCTTTCGTATCGTCTTGCGCGCCGCTTGAGGGACGCTGCCGTGAGCGTTTCCCAGCCCGCGGTTCGCGACTCACAAGTGGGGCGCAAGAGGGTACGAAAGGGTCGCGACGAAACTAAAAGTGGATCGATAAACTTTAAAAAATGGATTCTCCTTTGAAAAACCGTGGGAAACCGCAGCTTTCCCCTCGCTGGCTGGCAGAGCTCGGGGCCGCTTGGGGCCCCCCTCACCCCAGCCCAGCCCAGCCCAGCCCATGCACTGGGGGGAGCGAGGGGCACTGGGTCGGCACTGGCCGTCGGTGTTCGCAAGTGGGTCCTGGTGCAAACAAGGTTGAGAACCACTGGTGTAGGGGTTACAAGCGTTGGTAGCGCGAGCTTTGTGCATCTATAACTCCCAGTCGCAGCATTTATAAACACGGTTGCGCGGCGGTTTGGTGCAGAAGTGGGAACCTTCCTCTCCTTCCGGTCACCAATTCCACTCCAGACTGGTAGTGACCCAAAGCAGGTGCCATCCCACTGGCGTTCGGCGCGCTCAGTCCTTCCAGCAAATAGGTGTCCGCACCACAAAACTCGCTAGCACCGTGTGGCAGCATCTGCTGGAAAGCCAGGAGCTGATGGGATATGGGGTTGAGCTGCCCCACCTTGAACTGTGCGTCCAAGGGCAGAGTTTCGATGCATTGCAGAGTCACTGTGGCTATGCCTACTCTGGTACAGCTTATACTGGAGTTCCCCTATCAATACAAGCATTAAATAATCTGGCCAAAAGGAAATCAAACCAGCCCAACGTATTGATATTATCAACCACTGCGGTATGAATTGTACTAAAAAAGAGAGAGGGAATATGCCACAATAGGAAATGCTTTAATGTCAAATAGACCAGAGACATTCCCGCTCCCGTATTCCAGCAGCTTTCTAGGAGCGATTCCTCATATATGCATGGAGGCTCAAAATATTGGCCTCTTTTTTTGAGGTTTTTCTATATGACCCCTGATAAAATTGCATGTGTTGTCTGTCCAATGATCTTCTTCCCTGATTTTGCTGTGTAGGGATACCGGATACCCCGTTTAGCAAAGACAGAAACGGTCACGTAAAGCGGCCTATGAACGCGTTCATGGTGTGGGCAAGAATTCACCGGCCAGCGCTAGCCAAAGCTAACCCAGCTGCTAATAATGCCGAAATCAGTGTCCAGCTTGGATTAGAGTGGAACAAGCTCACCGAGGAGCAAAAGAAGCCGTATTATGATGAAGCTCAGAAGATTAAAAAAAAGCACAGGGAAGAATTTCCTGGTAAATATACCACCTCTTCATTGTGTGAGCGCTAGGTGAAGTCTCATAGCCTGACACAGAATTCAGAAAATGTCCCCGGTTTAGGTCACTGCAACACTTTGCATAGATCGTTTGTAGATGGTTGCAACAGGGGAAATGGCAGGCAGAGGGACACGTGTTAGGCAAATGTACCCAGTCCAATAGGAACCAAAAAGGGAAAAGATAGGGAGTGAAGGTCAGCTTATTGAATGTAATCCCCCAGTTTCCAATAATTGGAGGTTTTAGCGAGTTAGTTTCTGGTGTTGTGTCTTGTGCAGAAATACAATACTGCAACACCGATGTTGCAAGTCAGCAAATCCATGTAAAATGCTGAATTCAACTACAAGATCTATGTTTGCACTGGGGGGGAAAGGGTTTATTATTAAGAGAAATAGAAAAGCTTTCATGACTTGCTAGCTTAGAAGCATCAGGAATGCTAAGAGCCTCCTTTGCTATTGTGTTCAGCCTCCTTCTATTACACTCCCCTTCTGGAGGTGTGAACCAAGGCTCCAGTCTGGGCTTCTCTATGCTGGGGATACCAAGTACAGGATGAAATGTTTCTCCACCTTTCAGTCAAAGGGGGAAAGGAGTTGAGTCCTTAACAAAGTATTTTTATCCCTCAAAGTTTGGTTTAATAGTACTCATAAAACCAACCAATTGAGGAGTTTTAAACACTCTGGGTACGGGCTATGAAAACATCAGGTATTTACTTGTCTGTGATGTCATAATCCTTCTAATTCTTCAGGCAGTCAAAGAGTAGTCACAACCTGTTTTTCTTATGTCATAAGCAAACAGAAGACAAGGAACAACCCCATGTCTTACCAAACATTCAGACCCTCTTTATGCATCATAAAGAAGCAGAAAAACAGTGGTGCTTAAATGTTTGGGGCAAATGACCCACTATCATCCTTGTGGAACTGTTAGTTTTTGACTGATTGTGCTTATCGGTGGAGAAAGCCTGCAGCAACTGAGGCCTGGCCTCACTGAGCCTTCACCACTGATACACATGAAATTTGCACAGGTGTGGCTGAGAATTAAGGAACCAGTGAATTTCCAGAGAAAGTTTCACATTTTTAACCTAGCTGCATATACATCTTTAGAAGAATCCAGGTTGCATTCCCATTTTCTCCTATACATGCTTGTGGTGTCTTTCACACCTGTGGTTATCTGGTTCTTTATTTCCATCACCAAGCAGGCAGCAGGTGCTTGTATGAAAATTCATGAAAGCTTTGTGTTCATCACTCCTTGAGTTGCCTCCAATCTTCCCCAAAATAGTAGTTTTGCTGTTGACTTAAAAAGAGAAGCGGGACTTGCCCTGTCACACTGTCATAGACTTCTCAAAATTGTCTTACATTCTAATAAAATAAGAAAGAAACCAGTTCCCAAATAGGCAGTTGGACTCATACTTACTCGTTCACTCCCCCACAGGCTGGGTTTATCAACCGCGACCAGGCAAAAGAAAACGCTTCCCACTGACCGTCTCCACCGTGTTTTCCGGCACCTCTCAGAATATCATCACGACGAACCCAACCACCATTTACCCTTTCCGGACACCCACGTACTCTGTCGTTATCCCCGGGGTTCAGAGCAGTATCGGCCATCCCGTCTGTGAGTTTCTTTCATTAGCTTGGGTGAAATTTTCAATATCAATTAGAAAACCCATTTCCTATACATTGTAAGCATGTGCTTGTATAGAAATGGTTAGCGCAACAACCCAGCAGTAGAGAAGCTGTTGTGAACAAAGTGGAATTTAGCAGGTGGAGCCTCTCGGGGAGTAAGCACAGGTTGGGCTATGTTTTTTTGCAGAGGTCTCTAATACTGCAGTGTAGCTTTGCCTGTGACATTATAGATGCACCGTGCTTTCATGGGCACACATTCCTTGTACAATCATTCAGAACTATGCAGAGAGCTAGGTTAGCTCTGACCAGCTGGCATGTGTTCATACAGGCCTCCTATACATGTTACATTTATGCCATGATGAATGTGTAAATCATGGCATAAATGGCAAGGGTGCTACATGTGCATGCAGTTCAAGGTGCCAGAAAATGGCAAACCAGTTATAACATTGTTCTACAGTGTTCTATAATGTAGAACATTTTTATGGCTGGTTTGTAGGGCACCTGAAATTAAAGGTGTAGCAGGTCTCATCCCGGGGCCGACAGTAGGTGGCCAGGGACTGTATTGGGATCTCAAACTGGCCCCAGACCTGCAGGCACTTGGCTGTCAACTTACCAGTGCAGAGGTGGGGAGGCTGAGATCATGACACTAGGCTCCCCCTGCACTTGCAAGTAGAAAGGGTGCAATTGGGATCTGATCCCCAGTGCCCACATTGTGCCTCCTGCCACACGTCACAGTCTGGGTCACAGTCTGAGCGCAAAAATCCATGTTTCTTTACGCACAAAACTAAGGTTATAGAAGAAGCATAGAAAATGGGGGTGCAGAATTGCACCCTCCTTATAGATTCATAGATTCATAGATGTTAGGGTCGGAAGGGACCTCAATAGATCATTGAGTCCAA